TTCTTTCTGATTCTCCACTACCCTCTTCTGACACCACCCCAGCAAGGAGATCGAGCCATATCTAGTTACTGCTAGATGAGGGTGAAAGTCAAGGCTTTACAGGTGGTCTTCACTGACACAATAGGGGTGTGAGAAGAACCTTATTGCCACTTGATAGGGATGGAAAGTTCTATCTTTCCACTTGCCTTTCTCTGATACCCCACAGCAGTAGGGTTGAGGAACCTCATTCTAGTTTGGCAGTGAGAGAAATCTGGGCTTTTCATTCAGCTTCCTGACTGAGGTGAGTAGTACTTTAGTATATTTTCTGTGGCATCTGGCAGGAGTTAAATTATTATTTTCTAAGCTTTCTGTCTTATTAGGCTGCCTCTTTTAATTCTTTAGGTAGAGAGATCAAGGTCTTCCTAGAGCTTTTAAAATGCATTCACTGGTATTTCCTCTTTGTCAGTTTTTTCAGTACTGAGTCTGGAATATATGAAGCAAAACCCAAACATAAAAAACTCACTGCTGTGTTGTTCCTTGAATTCTTAGGTCCCTATCCAGTCTGCTTTATTCCTCCCACTTTTCAGAATCTTCTCGGGAGAAAAAAAATACATATATACATATGCACGTGTGTATAAAATATCCAGAGTTTTGTTGTATTTAGCAGGAGAACTAGAGAACTGTGTATCTATTCTGTCTTTTGGAATTAGCACTCTCTTGTTATTATCACGTTTGAAAGACATTTTTTGGCAGGGTATAGAATTCTAGGTTGACAATTTTTTCACATTCAGTACTTAAAGATATTGCTTTATTGCCTTCTTGGCATGTATAGATTCTGACTTCTGAAGTCATTCTTTACTTCACTCTTCTGGCATGATGTGACTTTTCAGAAACTTTGGCTACTTTATTACTTTAATATTTTCTCTTTATAATTTTTTTCAGCAACTTTTTCATGATATGTTTTAATGTGGTTTTCTTTAGATTTCTTCTTGGAGTTCATTAATTCTTTCTTTCTCTACTAGATTGTAAGCTACATTAAAGTGATGCCTTTGTGTATGATCGCTAACGTATTTATTGGAAAAAGTAAATGAATATATCTCCAAATATAAGCAGACCAGTTCATAGGTAAGTACACAGAAATATGTATTTATCTAGTATCTAGCTATATTTTTCTTTTTATTTACCTATAAGTCTTACCCATTTATTAGCTGGAAACTCAAAGCTCCTTGAGATCTATAAAACATTATTTAAGCACCATCACATACTCTTTGGAAATCCAAAACTCTTACTCAAGAATATTACAAAACCCCAGGATATATATTTTGCATTCTGAAAGTTGTAGGGTGAAATACTTTAAAATTGACAATATTCTTTCCATATATAAAGGAATACCAGAGGCTGGGAAATTTATAAAGAAAAATGGATTTATTTGGCTTACAAATCTTACATCTTAAGATTGAAAATCTACATCTGATGAGGGTCTCAGGCTGCATCCACTCATGGCAGAAGGTGAAGGGGAGCCCACATGTTCAAAGATCACCTGGTGAGAAAGGAAGCAAGAGAGGGGGAGGTGCCAGGCTCTTTTTAACCACCAGCTCTCCTGGGACTATTTCTCTCAAGGGAGGATATTAATCTATTCATGATAGATGCGCCCGCATGACCAAAGCACTTCCCTCTAGGTCACGCTTCCCAACATTGCCACACTGTTCATTTAATTTCAACATGAGATGTAATGGGAACAAACAAAACACAGCCAAAATGTAGCACATGTCATAAGTAGTCTGAAGTTAATCATGGTAATCTCATCTTCTGTATCATGGCCTGGTCTCAGAGTTAGACAAGCCTTATACAGATATAGCCTAGATATGGCTCAATGTTGAGAGTTTTCCCAGACTTCTCTGAAAGTAAAAACATTCTCTCTCTACACATTTCTATAAATAAGGGAGTATATTTCCATAGATGCTGATGAGAGTCTCCTTGTATCAATCAGGATGTCAGTAGGAAACAGAGTTCCACTTGGATAATTCAGTATGAAGATACTTTAATTATAAGACCATTTATGGAGGTATAAATGAGTGAAAGTAGGAGGAACTAGCTCCCACTAGCAAAAGTAGGAAGCTTGAAGACACAAGGAGAGCCATGACTGTGGTGGTACCAGCCACTGCCAGAACAAATGTGCACCAAAGCAAGGGTGGAGAAGAAACACCATAGCACCATAGGCTTGCTGTCTTTTAAGCTTCTGATTTTCTGCTGGTGCATCCCACCAGTTGATTCCAATTATAAGCCAGCTGTAAAGTCTGACTACATGATGCAATCCTTACCTTAACCTTTGAGGTACAGAGCAGGACCCAATAAGGACAGAGAATGAACATGGTCAGCTAAACTAAGAATAACCAGCATATTCCTTGGAATATGGAGCCAAGCTGGTAGATGGAAGGGCAGAGAATTAGAAATAATTAGGTCTGTGATGACATGGGGATAGACTGAATCAATCCACCCTTAAGACCGTACTATTTCTAGACTTTTTATTATAGAACATAATAAATATCCTTAATATATATGTCATTCTCAATGGACACTTTTGTTACATGAAGGCAAAACATACTATCTAATACTAGTATACTTCACCTATTGCCTGATGCACATAATTATAGAACACATCTCCTTCTTCTTGGCTTTCCTCCCTCCTCCACCCTGATAAACCACAAGTACAAGTCTTTTGCATGAAACATCTTCTCTTGAAGTTTTCAGACTTATATGGAGGGTTCATATATCATGATGAAATGCAGAAAACAAAAGGATATTAAATATTTTTTGGCTAAATTATTTTAAATTTCATAGTGACTATTCCATATCTTAGAGCTATCACTTCTCTGAGAAGCAAACCCTTAGTGCCTTGTCATGACCTCTATATCATCAAGTTTCCATTGTTCTCATCTTGAAAAATTATTTGTGAATTAACTCAATAATTCATTGTCATCTTTAGTCCTATGCTGCCATAGTACTGCAGCAGGGGTATGAACCATGCAGAGGACTGTAGAGAAAGCTGGGCCAGGGAAGAACCTGGCAGAAGTCCAAACCAGAGTAGGTCTGATGAGGCATTAGCCAATCAGAAAAAGAGTTCTAAACTGACACTTTTGTTGCTAGTTGAAAAGTCTGTGTGAAATGCCTGTGAAAGGGGGAAATCCCCAGGTCTGATACACCATTGCCGCCTTCCCTTCTCCGCTATATAACAGAAATGACCAAATCTTCAACCTTAGGAAAGGAGGGGGATAGGTCAGAGGCCTCTGTTTATTCTGTGGGGCTCTGAGGTGGGGCCTGATGATATTGAAGGCATCTTCAAGGCCCTTCTCTGACCATTCTTCCTTACCTCAACCCCATTCTAGGTCTGAGTTTGGTCCCTCCTTTATGCTTTAATTGCACTAGTGGAGAGCCTCCTTATGCTAGGGTTATCCTGATCCCCAGTGCACCACTGCTAGTGGAAGGTCAGCAGCAACTTTCCTAGTCTCAGGTGCCTTAGAAATATGCATCTAATACAGAATATTGGAATAAGTGAATTCATGTACCACTAATGTAACTTCTTGTTGTCTCTTTCTTATTTCTGGCAAACTCCTTATATGCTGCTTTTAGGTCCTGTCTTCTATTTTTAAAAGGAGAACCTAAAATACACCAAAGAGAGAGGGATGGGGAAGATACTTATTGTTTTGCTTAGGGTTGCTATTAATGTGTAGTTCGCATTGTTCTAATTGTTTTACAATCATTTAGCAATACCCTTAGACATGTGCAAGAGGAGTCTTAAAAATAGTAAATTTATTAAAACACACATCAAATTTCTGCCATTCAGGATTTGGTATTTAGAGCTGGCACAGTACAATCAATCACTTTAAAATCTGCCCCTTCATTAATACTACCCAGGCCCTGCTAAATGATTCATCACATTCTTTATTTTCTGTTCTCAAAACTAAAGCTATCTGTGTCTAAATGCTGTAAAAGTTTGTGTATTGTGTCTTTGCAGACATCAGACGGACCATTTTGATATCATGGTTCAGAGGGGATTTAAACAAGTGAAGAGTTTATAAGAGTAAAGTCAACTTAATTAACATTTCAAATCTTTCACTCAAAGAGAGTGAATGTAATGGTTTAGTGCATAATAAAGAATCCTTTGGCAGCAGGGTTTGGTGTCACTTTCTTTGCTTATTCTGCATATTAACTTGGTATTTCCAACAATTACACATGACAGCTGAAAAACTATTTTTAATATTAAATAATTTATATTGCTCTTAAGTTTGTATATATGAATATCAAGATGAAAATGTACAAAATATGATCTGCATTTTACAAAGAGAAACTTGCAGCAAAAAGAGTTTCAGTAATTAGTTGACTCCTACAAAGAACATAAATGGCAGAACTCAAAACCATTTCTAAGAACTCTGCTCTTCTCACCCCAACTTAAGGCTCCTCAGTGTTTAAGATAATAGAAGTGAACATCTCCATAACAACAAATTTTTCTCCCCTAAAATACAATCCCTACTTAATTTTCCCATATTAAAAATCTCAAGTATAAGAACTGTAGTTTTTTTTTTTTTTTTTTTTTTTTGGGACAGAGCCCCTAGCTGTCACCCTGGGTTGAGTGCTATGGCATAACCACTCACAGCAACCTCCAACTCCTGGGATTAAGCCATTCTCTTGCTTGAGCCTCCCAAGTAGCTGGAATTATAGGCACCTGCCACAATGACTGGCTAAGAACAATAGGTTTTAAATAAACATCACAAAGATGTCTACTCTTGAGTTATTTTTCTCTTTGGTTTGAAACCCCTAAAGCATTCAATTTTCTGATCTAGACAGGTATCAAATGTTTATCCAATACAATTTAATGAAAATACAGTGCAAGGCACTGGACTGAGAACCTTCATAAAATATGTCTGCCCAGAAACATATGATGTCCTTTAGCTGCAGTGTTGATTGGTTCCTCTCCTAGGAACTCTCCAATCCCAACATGCATGGAAGCTTTCACAGGTTTTTAGTCTCTGAAGTGGGCACATCAAGCGTGAACTGTGTGTTGACTACCCTTACTTTTTTCCATGTTCTCAATTACATCTTGGAAAATGGCTGTGCAGATCCCTGGAGGCTTTTGGACAGCAGCTGTGATGGTGACTCTGCTGATGCTGAGCAGCCCAGTGACTGAGGGCAGTGACTCCCCAGGTAAGTGCAGGGCAGCTGCTCTCCAGAGCCACACTCTGGGGGACAGACTCTCCTTGGGCTGGGGTATGTAGGATGATCTCTATGATCTCAGAATACAGTCTTTTATCATACAATTCCTCTTTTCTGAAAAGAGGTCTGTGTTACAGTCTCATGTCCACCTTCTAATGACAGGTGAGCATAGCCTCTATGCCATGAGTTAAAACCTGGGGATAATGGAGGAGGAGGAAGGGATAGATCTACTAGCAGAGATAGAACATAGTGTACACGGGGTTAATTTTGAAGATATTAATTTCTCTAAAGACACAGATTTGTTATTTTAGGCTTGCCTAAGACCTTGTCTGGACTAATGGAATTCTGGATTAGAGAAATGTAGGACAGCAATGGTCTCTATAATCTCAGCATTGAGGAATAAGTCTCCATATTCCTGATTCTAGGTGAAGGGTTCACAGAGGCAAACTCTTGGTATTTGGTGACCATAGACAGAGAATCTTCAGGTTTTATTGATTTATGGGCAAATAATAACTGGTCTTCATACCTGAGTTGATGGTGGACTAAATTTAGGAGGATATAAAGGATGTAAAGATGTGAAATAACACATATTGAGAAACCACTCGTTTCAGACACAGGATTCGTATCTTTATATAAATTGTCTCAATCTTTCTAACTCTCCTATGTAGGTATTATGACTTGTTCTACACAATTATACTTGTGATATGGATACTCTTAAGTAACCTGCCCAAGGCAGTAATGGGCACTACTTAATTGAAATCTAATCTAACTGGAAAGCTTGCGTTCTTTCCATGAATAAGATGTTCCTTCCTGGGACTCAGAGTGTAGGTCCCTTCTCACTACAGGGGAGTGAGGAACCTCACACTCCAGCTGGGTGGGAGTGGCAGTACCCCCCAAGTAAACCCTGAATACGCCCTGAGACTGAGTGAGAAGGAAAGCAGTGGCCCAGGGACCAAGAGAACACGCTTGTCAGGACAAGCACAAGGTTGCTATTTGCTTAATATGAGGCCATGCGTGCCACTGCCTTGAATTCCGGGCTTACTTGGATCCTTGTAGCTGAGGAATTCTACGGAAAACGAGGGTTCATGGGAGGGCGCCCCGACCCCTCTAAGGACAGGAATCTCTGCGCCATCTCCCCTCCTGCCCTCCGCTCTCAGCTCGCACGCAGGCCGGGCGGGGGTTGCAGCCGTGAGCGACTGGGCCTCCCTGACCCCACACGGCCGCGGACTCTGGGAGCCTACGGGGCGGGCGGGGAAGAGCCGCGGGCGTGGCAGGCCGGGAGCCGAGAGGACACCGCCGCCGCCTCCGGCAGGTTCCCGGCTCGCGCGACCCCAGCGCCCGGCAGGGCGGCGGCCTCGGCGGGCTCGGCTGACGCGCGGGTGTCCCCGCAGAGGATTTCGTGTTCCAGTTTAAGGGCCTGTGCTACTTCACCAACGGGACGCAGCGGGTGCGGCTTGTGACCAGGTACATCTACAACCTGGAGGAGTTCGCGCGCTTCGACAGCGACGTGGGGGAGTACCGGCCAGTGACTGAGCTGGGGCGGCCGGACGCCGAGTACTGGAACAGCCAGAAGGACCTCCTGGAGAGGAACCGGGCCGAGGTGGACACGGTGTGCAGACACAACTACGAGGCTTACCAGGGCTTCACCTGGCAGCGGCGAGGTGAGCGCGGGCTGCCCTCCCTCGGGTCTGTCCTTGGAGCAGGGTTGGTAACTAGTTATTATTGTCATTGTTACTGTTATTGAGACTGAGTCTCACTCTGTTGCCTCGGTAGAGTGCCCTGTTAAAAGAAAGTAAGTGGGAAAAAGGTGGATTAAATATTGACAGTACTGTCGTTTCCCACAAAGGGAATAAGGGAGGCGCAGTAAAATAGTCCCATAGGTAAAGGGTAAGCTATATTTAATATAAAACAGGCAGGGAAAATGTGTTATCTTTGATCATGAGTGGCAATCTGAGAAGGTAAGGCGATTGAGGCATGGTGAGCAGTGTTTTCAAGTCTTTCCTACTTTTCTATTAAAGCTTACAAACTTTTGAAATAACAATCATTTGCTGGTTTCTGTTACTAGATTACAACTTTTGTGAAGTCAGGAATGTGGTTTTTTGTTTATGTTTGGCTCGCTACTTATAGTATTGAATGAATGACTGAAATAAAGTGTAGAAGGCATATATGGTGAGGAGATTAAGTTTCTGTACTGTTAAAAGAACCTCTGTAGCTGACCACCTCCCTATATTGACCAGCTCCTTAAATTGACCTAATTTTCATAGACCAGACATGCACCACATGTACTAGTGGAAGACTGACCTCTAGATATTGGCCACCTCTATAAGTTGTGTCTTGATCACTTTGACTGTGACACACAATATTAATTTGCCCCCCTAACTTGACCAGTTGAGTCCACTCTACACGAAGGGGTAGAAGGTGTGGACTTTGTCCCATAGTTGTATTGTTTTCTTTAGTGTAAATTCTTTTTTCATTTTTTATTATTACCACATGTTGGATTAGGCTAATGTCCTATTGTTTATGTACTCAGTGGAAGCCTGACCTCTATATGTTGACCACCTCTGTAAGTTGCATCTTAGCCACTTGTTCTTACTACTGTATTTTCATGGGGAGTTCACCACAAAAGGGCATGGAGCTGAGAGTAAGCCAAACACTGAGAGGGGTGCTGTGTTGACTGGCAATACTCAAGAGGTGCTCCTGCTCTCAAATTTATTAATATTACAGGCTGAGAACTATAGAATTCAGTCTACACGAGAAGCATTCCTTTTTAAGAAGGATGTGATGTTTACTTTGTTGACAACACAGAAATGTCTGTACCTTCTTAACTTCCAGTGCACATTACTATTCTTGGGCCTTCTCATGGCAATAGCCGCACACCAGCAGGTGACAGTCAAAGCCACACTGGGATTAACAGAAAACAGTGTCCCTGTCCTAGAATGAGTCAGTAGAGCCAACCATAATGGTGACCTTCAATTTCAATAAATGTGAAGGAAAAGGTGTCCAAGTTTATTATTATTTTTAATTTTGTAAATACTGGCCTGTATAATATATTGATTTATAAATTTAAAGTGATTCAATTTCATAAACCAAGTAACTGCCATAGAATGATTATTATCTCTTTAGATTCTGAAAAGTGGACTAATATGTGTTAGTGAGCTAATAAGTGGCAGAGCTTGGATTCTAATTAAGACTTGGACCCCAATTATCATTCCACTCTGGTAACAAAAGGGACTCTTCCCCATGGGATACTTGCCTGGTGGTCTCACATCTCACTTTTATGTCTTTGTGTCTGTCCCTCCCTCCAGTGGAGCCTACAGTGACGATCTCCCCAACCAAGACAGAGGCCCTAAACCACCACAACCTGCTGGTCTGCTCGGTGACAGATTTCTATCCAGGCCAGGTCAAAGTCCATTGGTTGCGTAATGGCCAGGAGGAGACAGCTGGCGTTGTGTCCACCCCACTTATTAGGAACGGGGACTGGACCTTCCAGATCCTGGTGATGTTGGAAATGACTCCCCGGCGTGGAGACGTCTACACCTGCCATGTGGAGCACCCCAGCTTCCAGAGCCCCATCACTGTGGAGTGGCGTAAGGAGGAATTTTTTTTCTTTCACTGTGGGCTTCACAAAACAATAACAGAGTTCCCTCTGGCCTACGTAATCCCATAGTATAGGGATTGATGTCACTACTGAGCTGGGACTCACAGGAGATAATTTTGAGATTCTGAAAAATAAGAGAGCACTGCTTGTTCCATGGCAAGGGTATCAGAAAAGTTTGTATGCAATTGTCTTTCCAGACACTAGAGAGATCACTGTATACACTGTGATCCTGGAACCCAGCCCTGATAGCTCTGAGGGACTATTATAGCTGGTGACAAGGTCCTCAGGGTCAAGGTTGGGTGTATTCCTGAGGAGTAGGGGTGTTTTTCCTCTCCCTTCTCTACCCACTATGTCTAAGGTTGTTCCTTCCCTTCTCTAAGGTGGTCAGAATGGAGAACTAAGTTCCCCTGATGTTGTGTGAATTGGTGTGAATCGGTGCCACGGAAAAATAGTCTGCACTGAAATGTTTTTAAGAGGGGAGACTGTAGCTCACTTTGGCCGACAGCCCCTAACTTTATTTCTTGCATATAGTCTTAACAATACTAAGTTCTGCATGTACATATCCTAATAATAAAACTAATTGGCAGCCAATGGTTTATATGATTAGAGTACAAAGAAACCATACAGAGCAACCACAAAAACTTATTCAGCCATTTGTCTGAGAAAACAGGTGCAACTTGTAACTGAAATGCATGTTAACTTACCTTGTTTCTCTGCTCTCAGGGTCCCTTTCAGGACTTTCCAGAGACAGCCAGACTCTGCTTTTAGGGTCTGCCTCCTACCTGATTAGCTTTCTAATCAGTTCAGAGGGTCTTTTTTTTTTTTTGAAACAGAGCCTCAGGCTATTCCCCTGGGTAAAGTGCTGTGGCTTCACAGCTCACAGCAACCTCCAACTCCTGGGCTTAAGTGAGTCTCCTGCCTCTGCCTCCCAAGTAGCTGGGACCACAGGCGCCTGCTACAACGCCTGGCTATTTTTTGGTTGCAGCCATTATTGTTGTTCGGCAGGCCTGGGCTGGATTTGAAGCTGCCACCTTAGGTTTATGTGGCTAGCACCTTAGCCAATTGAGCCACAGGTGCCAAGCCAGTTCAGAGGGTCTTAAAGGAACATCCCTTCATGTGGACTCTGGGAAAGCTTCTTCAAACATAAGTCAATGGCACTCGAAGTTACATTGAGGTTACACCCTGATACCTCCACCTCCTGCACATCAGACTGGACTTCAGGTCCTCAGCAGGGGCACTGTGCTGTGTGGGAACAAACAATGACAATCAGGATTTTCTCCCCAGGGGCTCAGTCTGAATCTGCCCAGAGCAAGATGCTGAGTGGTGTCGGGGGCCTGGTGCTTGGGCTGATCTTCCTTGGGCTGGGCCTTATTGTGCATCACAGGAGTCAGAAAGGTGAGGAATGTCAGGGGAAATGGGGAAGATGGGCTGGGCCTTGTCATCAGTCACAGAAGTCAGAAAGGTGAGGAATGCCATGGGGAAATGGGTAAAATGGGCTGGGCCCAAGACCTTGTGTTAAGAGAGGCTCTGCCTCTAGATTTAACTCATTCCTCCTGACCATGGAAAGAAGGAGGCTGCACTGGTGGTGGCAGGAGATGGAACAACTTGGTGGGAGGCAATGGAGTCCAATTTTACTGGTTGAAAGGTAGCCCTACCACAGAGGTGACTGGTGAAGTTTATTCTAGGGCTTCCTTACTGTTCATCGTTGTCTCACGGGCTCCTTTCCAAAAACTTCCTCCATTAAGAGGCAGAGCCTCAGCTTCCCTTCCTTCTAGTGCCAATTTCATTTGTTTTGGTAGACTTTTAGTTTAGGGCAGTCAAGGCCTGTGGAACATGGGTGGGGAAAAAATACAACTCTCCAATTATGTTGCATATCTCATTTCCCTTTTGGGTGAGATTGTGACTATTAGTGAATGACTATTAGTGACTGTGTGACTTTTTTTTTTTTTTTTGATAGGACCTCATGGGCCTTCACCAGCAGGTAATATTTTTGTTCACATTCAGTGGGGACAGGAGACAGGTGTAAGAAGGCCTGTTCCCTTCTATGAGGATTAAGAGTTAAGGGAAAATTTGCCCAGTTTCTGTAAAAAGCTCTAGAAATCGTACTCCAGAATTAAGTCCTAATTTTAAGGCATCTTTCTATGAAGCTTGGAATCAAAACCACGTCTTAGGTGTCAGGCACCTGGGTAATGTCTACCTTGTTCTGCATATTGGAGGCTACTGCCTGTAGATATTTAGCAGTGACTAAAAGAGTCTGCTAGTGATGGAAAGAAGGCCAGTTGTCATCCAATTTACTAAAAAGATTGAGCCCTTTGTTTTCCCCAGAAGGGTAGCAGCTCTTTCCCCAACCTTCCACACAGCTGAGTCAGCTGAAATTCCATGTCCTCATAGATATTGGGGGTGTGTGATGGTGATATGCCCTGGACCTCAGCTTTCTCAGTCTGGTGCTGCTGGGGCCAGAGGGGAGGGAGCAGAATGTTTCTCTCAAGGTCTCCTGTCGTGATCACTCCTCTCTCTTCTACAGGCCTCCTGCACTGACTCCTAAGGATATTTTGACGGAGATTGGTTATCAGTCTTCCATAATGCTTGCCTGTCTGCCCAGAATTCTCAGCTGCCTATGTCAATGTGTTCTCTAAGAACAGAGTCCTACAGTGGCTCTCACACAGCTGCCAGGTCATCTCCTGTGACCCCTGCTCCAAGGATCTGGCTATGAACTTACTTCTTGCACTGACCCAGAGCCCCTGCCCGTGTGCTGCCAGTTGTGTCTACCTAGGTCCCAAGGGGCTTCTCTATTCGCATTCTTACCTCTGCCCCAACCCCCCAGACTACTCAAGAGAAGCACAAGTCATTTACCTGACTTTAGGGATTTTTAAATAATTAAACATGGTTATGAGTTATTCGTACTCTATGCTTTCTTTATTGGGTGGAGGCCAGAAACCACTGCAGTGTGAAGGAACATATTTTGAGGTGATCCAGCCAACTGTGGCCAGAGGAGGGTTGCTCCTTGAAAGGAGACTAGAAGCATCATTGGTGCCTTGTAAGGGTGGGCAGAGGGCGTAAACAATCAGTTCACTTGTCATATCCTTCTGTTGATGTTCAGTGCAGTGGCCTTATGATATCCCAATTTGTCTTCCAGTTTGCTGAGTACTGTGTAAGTAAACTGGGTGGAATTGTCTGGGGACATGCATAATGACCCCTGGTGTTGCAGAAAACCAGACTGAAGTTTCAGATATATCCCGGCAAGTTACACTGATCAAGACCAATTTTTACTTTTGAGAAAGTATAATCAGCAATTAAATTATTATTCTTGCTTCTAATTGATAGAAATGCAACCCAAACTAATTTTTTTCATGTAAAAAGGAAGTTTGGGGTTAAGTCCACTTTAGAAGTGACTAGATGGAGATAGTCAATGAGATCTTCATCTTTCTCTTTTCTTTCTGCTTGAGTCCATTTTATGTTACTATAAAGGAATATCTGGGGCTGGGTAACTTATAAAGGAAAAAGGTTTATTTGACTCATGTTCTTCAGGCAGTATAAGAAGCATGGTACCAGCCTCTGCATCTGGCAAGGTGTTCAAGCTGCTTCCACTCATGGTGGGTGGAAAAGGGGAGCAGAGATCACATGACAGAGAAGAAGTAAGGGGGCTTCTGCAGGCCCCAGGCTATTTTTATTTATTTATTTATTTTTTTGAGACAGAGTCTCACTTTGTCACCCTCGGTAGAGGGATGTGGCATCATAGCTTGCAGCAACCTCAAACTCTTGGGCTTAAGTGAGTCTCTTGCCTCAGCCTCTCAAGTAGCTGGGACTACAGGCACCTGCCACAATGCTGGTTAGTTTTTTTTTTTGTTGTTTAGCAGGCCCAGGCTGGGTTTGAACCCACTAGGCATGGTGCACCTGGCCAGCGCTTTAACTACTGAGCTATGGGCACTGCCTCCAGGCTCTTTTTAATAACCAGCTCTTTTCAAAACTAGTAGAGCAGAGAATTCACTCATCTCCGAGGGAGGGCATTACTCTAATTACGAGAGCTCCACTCTCAAGACCCACACCCCTCCCATTAGACCCCACCTCCAATGATGGAGTTCAAATTTTTTGTCCACCAGAAATTTGGTGGACAAAAACATCCAAACCATAGCTGGCATTATCATTTACCATAGGAGTCAGGAGGGAGTGACACTCTTAGGGAAATGGTCTATATGTGTAGCTCTTGCTTTTAACCCTGCAAAGAAAGAGGGAAGGCTAGTTTTGGAACCAGGCTCATAATTTAGGGTGATAATTAAATTTGATTTTCCTAGTTGGAGCTTAAGCCTTATTATCAGGGTGGTTATGGAGTGTATTTTAGGAGATTCTTGTAGTTCAACATTGTCACACTGGCCTCATGCTGGAAGATTCCTTTTTAATGAGAGGATCAGAGTTCTCGTGCTTTCCTTCCAGTGACAGTTTCATAGAAACAACTATATTTGCATCCAGCTTTCATTGGGTAATGTAATATTTAATTGATAATTTAATTAAAATAATAAATGCATCCTTCATAAGCAAGTTCGCTAAGAAAAAAGGACTGACTTTTAGGAGGTTCATAACTTGGATGAAAGTATATGGGTGTACTGGAGAACAATCTTCCAGTCATGAACATTGGTTCTTACCTTAACTAATATAAATATGTTTTTCAAAGACAGCAGTGCTCACCAATATTCTAAAGCTCCTGAACATTTCCCAGCCTCCTCTGCTGTTACGCTGGGATCATGTGACTAGGGCCAGCCAAGGAAACTTACAAGCGAGTATAAGATCTGTTTTGTCTTTCTCAGCTACCAAACACCTAGAAGCCATTGTTGAGGGGAGGGTGTATAACCAGAATCCCTTGAATGGCTGTGAAATTGAGTCCATTTTCATGATTTAAGCCAGTGAGATTTAATTTTTGCCAAGGGTTAATATCTTACTGAAACACACTCCTGGCCTTCCTAACTACTGTGAGATGTTTACCTGAAAGGAGAGGGTTTCTAAGATGAATCAACAGAGTTAATAGAAGTTAAGAGACTCTGCATTTTTGCCAATATTTGTTTTCTTCCACCACACTATGTATGTATTTCCAGTGACTAGAATAGTACTTCTGTAGTAGATACTTTTCTGAGTCACCTAGATTCCTCCCTTTAGGACTGAAGGATTTATTTCCTCAGTTGCTGGGAATGGTGCAGGCTGACAGCTTTAGGTGACAAGAGGTGCCACACCTAATTCTACCCTACTTCCCAGGGTAAACTCATCCTCAGCATCTGGTGAGTGTGGGGGCTGTCCAGGCCCTGAAGTCTTCCTCTAATTTGAAGTAATCTGAAGGGCACTTGTAGTTTAAGTCCCCGGGGGTCAGGCTGAGGCCTTTTTTGTGGCTGCATCACAGTACAACTTCTAAAAACCTGCTTCTTTCCCTTCTCCTGCTCGTGGGTTATTAATCTCAAGAGTAGTTTCTAATACACGCCCTGAAGGCTGATCTCTGTCTCATAGTTTGCTTCCCCAGGGAACCCAGCCTGTCACAGCTTGGTAAATAGGAGGTCCTCTACATATAATTTTTTGATAAATGAATGAAGGAAATAAACCTAATGATGGTACCCTCCTATTAATATGAAATTTAAAAAATAGAATTTATTTGAGACTGGAATGTTTTCCTAAATATTATCATAGTTTGGGATATGTCAAGGGACAATTCAGTTCTTTAATACCAAGAGTTTGGCTAGAGACCAAGTAAATTTCTGGCCCTGTATCAGAAGTTTGAAGAAATGCAGGCTGTCAGTTTTCAAACTGAAAGAGTTCTGTAGTCTAACTACCTTCATCTCATCCAGATCCACTGATTGAGACACATACCCCAAATCCTGGGCTGGAATAGTAGCAAAATTTTCTGGCCCACTGTCTTGGGCATGGCTAGATCCTTGGTGTAGCTGAGTATATCTTATGAGTGTGAATCTTCACTGAAGCCTAGGAGGCCATGCCAATCAGCAGGTGTTAATATGTAATCATGGTATGTGCCAGTTCAGGTGACTCTGGCTGCAAGTGACCAAATATACCTTTTGAAAGTACATTTAGCAATATGAACATTTCTGTCTATTCTGAATTCTAGGTAATAATCAGTTGTGAGTGGCCACAAGAGTGGACATGAGTTTCAGGAAAACAAAATGTATTATAGGTTCTGGGGAGACAGAGGCACTGCACATCAGGAGGGGGTCACGTGGGAGGAGCATCAGGGAGCAGGTGTGGATCAGAGAACCTATGGGTAAGTGCCCTTATTGGAGATCAGAGTGGAGTACACAAGAAAGGGTGTGGGAGGATTTTATTGGAGCATTTGAAATTTATTAGGTCATGTTCAAGGGAGGGCAGGAAGGAGAACTATGTCAAGGGCCAACTTTGCCACACTCGTGGACACACTCACTTAAGTAGGGTGCTTACAGCCTGTTTGTGGGAATATTGAGGCAGCAGGAAAAAAATGAAAAAAAAAAGAAGTTTAAAAAATCCATGTCACAATGGTTTACATACAAAGAAATCTATAAGATGGGCTCCACTATAGCACATTAAGCTGCTGCATCTACTCTGAATTCTCTCAATCTGGCTTCCCTCATGATCACAAGATGACTGCAGCATCTCCAGGTGTCACATCCTTACCTAATACAGTTTAGAAACATGACATTTGCTTATAAGAGGAAAAACTTTCCCCAAATTACATCAGGAAAAATTCTTTCTCTCATTGGCTAGAATAACATGGTTGGCCTATTTTAAAACCTCTTACTTTTGGCTTGGCACCTGTGGCTCAAGTCGCTAAGGCGCCAGCCACATACATCTAAGGTGGTGGGTTTGAATACAGCCCGGGCGGCCAAATAACAACGATGCTGCAACCAAAAAACAGCTGGGCATTGTGTCGGGCGCCTGTGGTCCCAGCTACTTGGGAGGCGGAGGCAGGAGACTTGCTTAAGCCCAGGAGTTGGAGGTTGCTGTGAGCTGTGATGCCAGGGCACTCTACCCAGGGGGACAGCTTGAGGCTTTGCCTCAAAAAAACAAAAACAAACAAACAAAAAACCCCTTACTTTTAAGGAAAAATAATTGAGGCCAGGCATGGTGGTTCACGCCTGTAATCCTAGCATTCTGGGAGGCAGAGACAGGTGGATCACTTGAGCTTAGGAGTTTCAGACCAGCCTGAGCATAGTGAGACCCTGTCTCTAAAAAATAGCGGGGCGCTATGATGGGTGCCTGTAGTCCCAGCTACACAGGTGGTTGAGGCAAAAGGATCATTTGTGCCCAATAGTTTGAGGTTGCTGTGAGCTATGACACCACCACACTCTACCCAAGGCAATAAAGAGAGACTGTCTCATAAACAAACCAAAAGAAAAAAAAAGAGAGAGAGAGAGGGAGAAAGAAAGAAAAAAAGTAAAGAAAAAAGAATTAATGATAGTGCTGGACTAAATAAGATTTACCCTGAAGGAATTGGGATGATACTAACCTCTCCCGAAAGAGGAGGAGGACATATGGAGGACTTGGATACCTAAACAAAATTCAAGTTCTCACTGCAAGAATAAGTGGAAATGATTATTTTAAAGGTGTTCAAAAACATGTGCAGAGTTCAAGAATATAATGAGCTGAGTTACATTTGGAAGGTGCTCTTCCATTTGTCTCCTCTGCAACTGTATACAATGCTGTAGGCAAACTTGGAGGTGCAAATCAACTTATAGCTCAACTACCCAGAGCTGTCCAGAAGTTGAGGAATGAGAAAAACCTTAGTTAGTTTTTTTTTTTGTTTTTTTTTTTGAGACAGAGTCTCTATTTGTCACCCTTGGTAGAGTGCCATGGCATCACAGCTCACAGCAACCTCAAACTGTTGGGTTCAAGTGATTCTCTTGTCTCAGTCTCCTGAGTAGCTAGGACTATAGGCGCC